CCGACGGTCCTAAAATGGCTTTGATAATGGATGACACAGGCGGCACCCTCACCCTCATGCAAACTGCAGTGATGACGAATGACGAAAGACATATTATGTCGATTGTGGTCATCATACGTTTGAATTTATTCCGAACAGCTTGCATTATATTTGTGAATATGAAGGCTAGCTGTGAACGTTTTTTTCTAGCTGAGTTAATTGGTGTTTTTGTCATCACTCAGCTGCTTTAACTTTGGGGGAGAAAACTTAGCTGGCCGCTTTGCAGCTTGGCAATATTTTTTTATTTATAGCGGCCAGATAATTGTGGTCCATCAAAGCTGGAGTACCTAAATAAAAATACAAAGAACATGGCTGCTTGGTCAGAGTTCTTACGATGCTGCCACATCTGACTTGGCAGTGTGGCCGCATTAGGTAAAGCGGCCTCATCTGATATACACCATTCTGGCACACTTACTTGAAAGCATTCAGTGTAGTTCACAGCGATGCCATTTTTGAGGCATAAAACCTTATTTTTCTGAGCTTAACGACTACGAACCATTGGACACTATTTCGAGCAGACTATTTCAAGATCAACCAGGCATTCATAACTCCATACAAACGTCACGCAAGCGCCGCCACCTGATTGGCCGTGCAGTGCTCAAGGCCAAGAGTAAATACGATCATCGAATTATTCGCGTCTGGCGTGCGTCAGCACGATTCGTCGCAGCAGTGGTTTATCAGCTGGTCTTCGACTATTTTGACGCGTTTAGTGCAAGCTTAGAATACAACTGGTTGTTTGCATTAGAGCCTATTCGACCAGAAATAATCATTTCAGGGCTATGAGACAAAGGAAAATGGATAACGGTAGGGCAGGCGTACATACGCCTGGAGGGCCAACCGCTGGGCTGTAACTCGTGCATGTGCGCTGATAACCCGGTCGGGGCCCCCTTCCTACGGCGCTCTCAGCCCACCCGTGGCTGACACATGCAGCGTGCCCCAGACAAGTGGGGCGTCGTGATGATGCATGATGAGACAAGATAGACGATAACAGGATCGGATCTGCTAGAATATGAATCACGTTTTGTGCTATATAACGCAGGAATTCGGACAGTGGTACGAGTTATGACTGAAGTAGAACTGCGAATCAAATAACTTAAGAAAAGTGTCATAACGGAGTATGTGAAAGCAGGTAAGCAATGTAAAATCAGCAATAAATATACAAGAAAACACTGAGAAAAGACCAAAGACGCGCACATAACGATGCTAGGGCCTCGAAAACAAACACCAACATGCGCGTCACCTCTCGGCAAGTTGGAGTACTACAGGCGAGGCCCACCGTCCGCTATAGTGGCAACTCTAACACGGCTACCTGACGGCGACTCAGACGGATATAAACTATACATGGCGCAATCAAGGTAGAGATACATTGAGGAGTTTATTTACTAAATAATCGCCTTTTGCTGTCCAGAGCAGCCTGCCGCACTGCAAACGATACCAATAGTTGCAAGTGAGCTCATCTCGTTATATCAGGTGCTTGACCCAATGTATTCTGATGTGGAACATTCCCTTTGGGAAATGTCGTGATAGTACGGAAACCTGGCATGACCTGGACTCAGCTTCTAACAGCGTGTGCAGTGGAGATGCCCAGGGACTAGTTCACAATGACCGACTTAGCGCCATGCAATTCAATGCAACGCGAGTGTTGGACATTCTAGACAAAGAAAATATACGCATGCAGGACGAGCAGTTTCACTATGAACCGACGGATAAGATACATCGCACATCGGAATGAGAGTCCCTTGAATGATGTGGAGCCTGCACACCACGGTGCGGTCAATAAATGAACTTAAACTTCCGGTGGTCTGCAGCGTTTCAAGCTTACCCGCGACGACTGCATGGGCATTTTTGCATTCAGTTTGTTTCCTAACCGTTCAATTCAATTTTTTTTTGGGGGGGGGGGGGGCAAGTCGCACCATTCGACCAATTCACAAGTCGCACTTATGCCGTGACTCCGAGCAAAATGCGATGATAGATGGGCCTAAGGACTCCTGCGAGATGGTGTTTTGGCGCTCTTCACTCTTTCATTCTTTACAACGTGCTCAGAGGCTTCCCGAAGATTGTGCATGAGGCGCGAACACCTTTGAACTAGATGAAGTCAACACCGAATTAGCAAAGCGCTCCTCACAGTACTGTACATCTGCGGTCGGAGATAGTCCCCGCAAAGGGACTGCCAATATGAAAGCCAGCAAGCATTCAAGAGCACGTTGCTGCTTACAAATGTCAACTGGTGACATAACGTTCATGAAATTCTTGCGAATCCTGCTTTGCGTCTCTTTGGTTCCTCGTTGTCTGAATCTCGTTTGTCTGTATGAGCATCTGTTCGAAATGATTGTGTACCTTATTGTTGTTTGCGTCATAATTGTTTTATATGGAACGCTGCAAGCGGATCCTGAAAGTCTTGTGCCATGGACTATGAACATACAGAGTTGATAACTCAATAGCCAACACAACAGGCTGCTGTATGGGGTCATTCGAAGATGATGCGGCAAACAGCAGCGTTTGCAGCTTTAACTTATTGACCGAACCGGTCGGATAAGAGAATATCTCCTTTTTCGTCGTCCACCGGTGCCTGCAGCGGAGTTTTGAGCACAAGTCTGATCAGCTGACGGCCACTTAAACTTTCGCCGCGTGAGCTCATCTGCGCTATGATTGCCACGCAAGCAGCTTTGCAAACTTTTTCCAGGGTGTGTGACATTTCGGACTTGTTCCTCCGCAGGGCCTTCCGATTTTGTGTGACCTGAGATGTTTCCAGTGATGGGGGAGAGTCTTGCAAACCCATTGTGCATCTCTGCTATTTGTCATCCACTTTCCCCCCTGTCCATCGCAGATGCCCCAATATACCTAGACTGCGCACGTGCCGCAGGCCAGCCCCGACCCCCGCATGATGGCCACCGGTCAGGCTTCGGGTCACGTGGCCAGGAGACGCCGCATTCCGACAGATTTCTCCATCAGCAGTGGTTGGGTTGCCGAAACCGGATAGGATTACTGTGACGAGATGCTTATCCGTGTTCCGGATAAGCAGCAGCCACTTTGGACCTTGGCGAACTTTCGTTACGTGCATTCGTTTTGATCGCAGAGCCATGCTTGGCAGGGAATGATTCTTTGGTGATACATTTTGTGCAGATGTTCAGACGTTATGATGTTGATGCGGGCGAAGCGAAATGTTGTTTTTTTTTTCTCAAAACATCGGAGCTCCTCTGTTTCTTCTTCGGCCAAACACGCACGAAACGCCGACTCAAAACTGAATTAATCGCATTTATGTTAGAGTCGCCTGCCATGAGTTATGACCGTGATTACCTTTTATTCGCTATGACCTTTCTCCACCCCGTGCAATACGCTTCCGTGTAGAAAAACATGACTTCTAGCAAAAGTGATGTGTTGACATGTTGATCCTTGGAATGCCCCCACAAACAACCTGTCAATTTGCGCAACATCACTTGTGATCCCGTCGGCTTGCTGGTATGCACCTGCTGTCTTGGTTTTGTACTGCCAACATATGCTGAGGCTCTTAAGACACGTGTCTGTGGCGGTGAACATGTTCACCGGTCACCAGCATCACAGTTTGCCAAGCTGATGTAGCCGACGGCCATCGCCGAGGCCGCGCGCCGTCTGCGCCGGTGCTGGATCCAGGCCGCGCGCCGTCTGCGGCGGAGCTGGGTGGGTGATTGGGGGGGAGGGGCCAGGCCAAGCCGGACTCGAAGCTGATCTCGCCTGCGTGTCTGGCGACTGTCCCACGTCTCTACGGCCGCCCGGTGCGGTGGCGTGCTGGTGCGCGCGCCACCAGAGCGTCCGCTCCCCACGGACGCTCCGCCGCTGGCCGCCACACCGGGCGCGTCGGCGCGGCGGGTGGCGCTCTCAGCCGGTATGCACGCTAGCCGCCACCGTCGGCCGGCCGTCAGCGACGCGTGCCGGTCCGCCCGCAGACAGCCGGCTCAACCACTTTCGACCCTGCCGCGCCAGATCCGACCCGGCCGCGCCGGATTCGCCGGCCGAATCGAAAGCGGCCCGGCGTGGGCAGGGCGGCTCTCTTTTGGAACCGGAGGTGTGCCGCGCGGGGCGGGAGCCGCCGGAACAGGAAGGGCCGCCTATATCAGACGCGCGCCTGGGGGAGCGCAGTCACTGATCGGCCATCAGCCGGTGTTGTGTGCCAGAACAGCGCTCGAAACATGCGCAGCAGCTCGCTCACGCTGATGGTGGCGGCCACGGTAAGGTGGTCAGATGACCATGGTGATGTCAGATGTAAGATGCTGGTCAGCTGTGCGTCTGCCTCCTCTGGAGGAGCGGGCCAGGGCGCTCGCCGCGCCGGCCTGCGGCAGCGCTCGGCTCACCGCTGCGGTTCGCAGAGTCTTGATCCGGGCTCGACGCTTACACGCTCGTTGATATCTCCGAGGGCTCGGCTAGTTTCTGGTTTTGTAAAACAACGTTTCCTCTGGACATCTATGCCCAAAAGTCGCTTCATCTTTGGACTCTACTCTTCATTTTACGGTGGATCATCTGAACGTCGCCTTTCTCGAGACCATTGATCCCAACCGGCCGAGTGAGCTGACCCGTGACCTGACCCGTGCGACCTCGGTGCCGGCAGGCGGTGGCCATGTGCGCCGGCTGGCCGGTCGAGAAGCCGGGCCCGGTCGGCGCGCCGCCGGCCCCGGTCGGGGACGCGCTGAGGACGGCGGCCCGCCCGGGCAGTCGTCGCCAGGCGCGCTTCTTCCTGTTCAAGTTCGGGCTGGCTAGCCTGCTCAAGTGGGCCGGCCTCACGGGCACCACGGCAGGGCTGGGGGCCGGAGCGACCGGCACGAAGGCGACGACGGACCCGGTGAAGGACGACGCAGACAAAGTGGAATCCGGTGGCCTCCTGGGCTCGCTGGGGCTAGCCGACTCATCCCTCAACCCATTCAAGTTCGGCCAGGGCCTGCTGTACAATGGCAGCGAGGAAGACGAGGACGAGTCTGGGGACGGGGAGGATGGCGCTCACGCGGAAGAGTCAGTGTATGCCGAGCCCGAGGAGGACGAGGACTCGAACGGCGCGGGAGATGAGGACACGGATGGTGCGGGCGCCAAGCCGCTGTACGCTTTCGACAAGCTGGCGGCGCACGGTCAGGAGACACATATCATTCAGCCGGTCATCATCTACAAGACGGTCGAAGAGGGCGAGCACGAGTACCAAACCGACTACCTGTAGCTGACCGGAAGCCGGGCACAGCCCGCGCGAGGGTCAGGGACGGGGGCAGGGGAGGACAGGGCTGTGCGGGCTCATGACACGCGAGAGCCTGCCCGCGGCCAGCAATGTTTGCTGGGACGCGGACATTGCGGGGGTATTTGTCACGGCATTGTCAAACTTGTTAATGTTGTTGCACAAACTTTGTTACGGAATGCGTGGAGCACCTGCATAATGTATTACAAGCGTTGATAAAATTATGTGTATGTTGCATAAAGAAAAGTAGTTCAGGCAGACACGAATGCATGCTGGAAAGGAAAGTTTTGCTGCAAGGTTATGTCCGCTGACCTATTGTGCTGTTGAGGGACATCTACGGCACAAAACCAAGCTATAGCCACAGACATCGCAATCATGTCTGTTAACATTCAGAGACGTTAAATACGTCTCAAATGAGTCTGAAAAGTTGCATCAGTGAGCTTCATTCTGGGGTGGAACTACTTAGCAAAGTAAATTTCGAGAACTAGGTATTAAACAAGGATATGGTTTTTGCGGAAAGGTAAAAGAGCACAGATATCACTTCGCGGCACCTTTCCGGCGTGACAGACTTCAGCTGGCACACAAGTTTTACATTCGAGGACAAATGGCACCACGGGTTCGAGCAAGAGATCGCCGGCCGGTCCTATCTACCCTGACTATATTGCCGCACACTTCCCAACTTAAGCGAAATGTAGCCTCAGCATCTAGACGTACAAACAAATGAGAGACAAGCCATCGTTACGCTTGTTTCCTCAGGCGTTCTAGCTCTGCTAGACCCTAGGTAGAGTTAGCACCCAAACCCGCCCGTACCCACAGCCGCTATTTTTTCCGCTATGGAGCCTGGCGATCTTGTTCAAAATGTTCGCATTATGCGGAAAATTTTGATCCACTTGTTTCCAATCGAGCACAGGTAGCTGACCAACATCCAATTCCTGAACGGGTCCGACTGAAGGTTTGGGTTCACCATTTCGTTTCGAAATTTGGATTCGCGCGTTTGGAACAAAGCCAAGACATCGGTTTCGGGCTCGATTTCCAGTAAACTACCTTGGGAGCTGACATGTAATTAGCAAGGTGTTGATGCGGATTTCATCTGGTGCAGCTCTGCAGTCGCTATCCCACAGCCACCAAACTCGAGGTGCTGATTTCGAGAACAACTCTTGCTGCGCAGTGCCGTTTATGCATGGACTCAACAGATTGGTATTCCGTTACGCCACGTGGTTAGTACATTGATAAACCCCGTACGGCCAGCTAAATCCACCGGTCTGAATGAATGCAACGTAGGTGCGTAGTTTCGCAACATTCCTTGGGGGGGGGGGGCTGGCGACTGGCTGCTGCCAGGCTGGGTTGGGAGGCTTGACCTAGTGTCTGAGCATGGAAACGATCGCCAAAGCCATCCATTAAATGGACAAAGCCAGGTTTATGTGCAGATTCGACTCATTCCCTTCTCAAACTTGTGAATGGACACCTCCCCTCAAAAATGAATAGCGAGCTACACTCCTGACACTAACCCAGCGGTTTCATCTCACCCAATACTGAGGTGGCCAACCTCGTGCTGTTAATCGACGTCTTTTTGACCAGGCGGTGGCGGAGTCATCACTGTTGAAAGAAACGCGCCTCGGGAAACACTGGCGGTACTTCAAGCAGACGAACTGTCGCCTTGCTTGTCTCAACGTCGAAAAAATACAATGTCTGCGACTTGTCTGTCGTCATAAACCCTGATATCACGTGTTTACATGATGCATTGTGTGCACATTTGCACTGCCGCACCCGCATTAGCGTGCTTGTCGGTGGCGACAGCGTGCTGCTTTCAAACTGCTTGGTCGACCGCTGAGCCGTGCAAGTGACACCGGCCGGTGAGCTGTGTGGCCTGCAGTGACACCGGCCGGTGAGCTGTGTGACCTGTACTGACACCGGCCGGTGAGCTGTGTGACCTGTACTGACACTGGTCGGTGAGCTGTATGACCTGTACTGACACCGGCCGGTGAGCTGTGTGACCTGCAGTGACACCCACCGCTTCCGTCAGGTACCATCGACAAGAGTTACCCCCGCACGCGGAGCGGATACGCGTTCGAGATCAACACGCCGGCTTCGCGACGCGTGCTGGCCCGTCTCCGGCCGGGCAAGAGCGCTCTGGTGGTACACGAGACCATCTGCAGAAAGGACAGCCTCGAGATCACCGAGAAGCACAGGTGAGGCGGCTGCAGCCGCGGCCGGATACCCAGTCCGCGGGAGGTCCTGCAGAGTCCTATGTCTGGGGGCCTGTATTCTCCTGCATCACACTGGTGATACAGGAGCAGACAGGCTGGAGAGACCCACACCTGGGAAGGGCCCAAGTAGGCGATACAGGAGAAGACAGGCTGGAGAGATCCGTACCTGGAGAGGGGCTTCATACAGGAGATACAGGAGAAGACAGGCTGGAAAGATCCGTACCTGGAGAGGGGCTTCATACAGGAGATACAGGAGAAGACAGGCTGGAAAGATCCGTGCCTGGAGAGGGGCTTCATACAGGAGATACAGGAGAAGACAGGCTGGAGAGATCCGTACCAGGAGAGGGGCTTCATACAGGCGATGCAGGAGGAGACAGGCTGGAGAGATCCATACCTGGAGAGGGGCTTCATACAGGAGATACAGGAGGAGACAGGCTGGAGGGATCCGTACCTGGAGAGGGGCTTCATACAGGAGATACAGGAGAAGACAGGCTGGAGAGATCCATACCTGGAGAGGGGCTTCATACAGGAGATGCAGGAGAAGACAGGCTGAAGAGATCCGTACCTGGAGAGGGGCTTCATACAGGAGATGCAGGAGAAGACAGGCTGGAGAGATCCGTACCTGGAGAGGGGCTTCATACAGGAGATGCAGGAGAAGACAGGCTGAAGAGATCCGTACCTGGAGAGGGGCTTCATACAGGAGATGCAGGAGAAGACAGGCTGAAGAGATCCGTACCTGGAGAGGGGCTTCATACAGGAGATGCAGGAGAAGACAGGCTTAAGAGATCCGTACCTGGAAGGGCCCCACACAGGCGACACATCGGAAACCATTTGACAGCCGTCTTTTCCCGCCGGACGAGGAAAAGGTTTGCTAGCAAGTTTTGCCGAGACCTGACTTCCACTAGCATCGAATAGTAGCAATGACCAGATGCCGAGGGTAATTCGCTCGAAGCGGTCAAAGCGATACACAGCTCCGTCGTAGGGTGGCACATCTGCTACCCGGTGAAATTATTGGCGTATCTGCATCGTCGCTGGTCGTTGAGGCATCACTGTTTGCTGCTAGCTTCTGCCCGAAGCGGCGTCTGGGCTGACTTAACCCACGCCTGACGGAGCCATGTTTACACCCTCCCCCCCCCCCCCCCCCCCCCCCGAAGAAAGGAGTGAGGACTGGCGAGCCCATTATGAAATGTTGCACTGCGGCAGGCAGAGCATCGGAATCGAAACCAGCGCGTTGCTCGCTGCTTAGATATACGTGCATCTGGATTATAGGTTCCAGGTCAACAGGCGCCCTTCTAGGTCACTCAAATAACGATAACCTGTCCAAATTGAAAACAACACGGCATGTTCTCGCCAGGCTCACTTCTTAGCCTCAACAAAATGGCGTTATATCAGGGTAAGTACCAGCGTTTTTTTCCGTCTGCCGATTCTGAAAAGTTGGAGGCCTCGGGGTCAATTCAAACATGAGGCTTTTCAAGTCACGGAAACATTACCACTGAAGAAGTTTTCATTGGATTGCGTGTCATGCGATAGCACTAGCTGCTATATTGAACAAACTGAAGCGACGAGGAAGCGACCAAGGCACTGATTACCATCTGAGACCCATCCTTGCCTGGTTTTCGGGTCATTTTATGACCTTGAGCTGGGCCGTTCGGGTCACGCCCACCTTTTGTTGCTATTGGTGCAATGCAGATATGTGAGCTGCGTTAGTCGGACGAGTCTGAGTGGAAATCTTTGGCACTCTTTCAGCTCGGTACAGTCCGACTTGCATAGATACCGCTTCCGACAGATCAAGGTCCTTTTTGCTTAGAAGGTCAACTATTTTCTCTGGCTGCCCTGTGATGACCCCCCACGTTGCATATGCGTGGTAAATGACATTCGGCACAATATGACGCCCGTTTGCGGATGTTTGAAACCATGTGAAACACCTGTGTCATGTAAAATCAGGTCACAGAGTTGCAATCTTGTAACGCTGTGCAACGCTGATGTCTCAGGCTCTTTGCATCAAGTTGGCCCCTACCCCAGAAGAGTGGGTCGCATACAACAGGCCAGCCAGACGCGTGGAAGAGCCGGAACATATCGCAGAGAAAGCTGGTGGTGGTTACCAACCCTGCCATACTGCATGCTTCAGATTCTAAGTCCGTGAATGCCGTGCAATCCAGCAGTGACACAGACCTACACATTGGTTGCAAAACATTCTCAGCTGGAATTAACCAACGGCATTCAGCTTACATTCAGCAAAGGCTTCAAAGCCCTGCGTTTAAGGTGGTCTTGTTGCTCGAAGGTGGTGTTTGTCACATGTTTTCCCGGTGGCTTATTGCGGGATATACTTTAGAACGTGCAATGCCCCGAAACACAGGTATTCACGGGTAAGATTGCCTTTATCCAATCTACACGCCATTCATGTGACTGTGCCCATGCTCTTCCGCTATTCAGCCTGAATTAGTTCCACCCGCCTATCGCCCATCTTTTTGCACCAGGAACATCAGGAGACCGGGAAGGCTTATAACCTAACCTCGTTTTTGCGTTCGTGATCGTAAGACAAGTGTGCATGGAGCTACTTGAGACCAAGATAAGTGCATACACTAGCACTACGCAAAATTCCTTGACGTATCTACCCGACATATGATACACGTCTTTCCATTGCCTTTACCCATGCGCGTAGTTTTCTCAAAATACGTACGCCGACCAGCTCGCTGCCCATTCCGAAGCTGCCCCCGTGGGTTTATCAATCCCCAGCAGACCTTTACCCTGAAACACCTGCGAGGAATACCAAGGCTCACGTTGTTTTAATCCAAATTTGAAATGAAAACGTAGGTTTTGGGTCTAAGCAGCACATGTGACAACCATCGATTTTAGAATCTTCCGTGATCCCAATCATGGAGACACATTTCCCCAGACATTGTAACGTGTCTGGAAATACTTCACACGCCCTGTGTGAGCAGCGACTGATGAACAGGGACGGCACCACTGATTTTGGGTTAAGGGGGGGGGGGCAGGATTTCCAGAAGGCCCCCGGGCCAGAATGCAGCCCATTCACAGAGGGGCCCCGGGACGATGTCGTACTTGATAGGGAGGAGTGCCGAGGGCACGTGCTCCTTTACTGAATTGCTACATGTACATATCAAAGTAAATCAATATCAACAATTATCAAACGGCATGGGGGCCTTCTAATTATCCAGCAGAGGATCTCGGTGACATAAAATAGGGTCGCCTCCCGATGCAAAGAGGGGCTTTCTTATCTAGCACAGGATGCTTCCGATCCCAGAAAAGCCTTCCATATGAAGCCAAATAGCTTTGGTATCGCAAAACAGGGCACCTGATTTAAAACTACGGCCATGTGATCATAAAATGGATCTCCTGTCCCAGGCATGGGGCCTGGTGAATATAGAGTGTGCCTCCTAGTCCGCACCAGAGCCTCCTTACTTAAAACGATGCCTCTCGAGCCACAAAAAGGGCTTTTTAGTAACTTCCGAGTGGTTGCAGTGTCCTTAGGTTGGGAGAAGGGGCCTCTTCCATTTATTTATCTGAGGGGTATTGACACTCTTGCTCCCCGTTGCCCGCCGGCAGGGGGCAATGAGCATCAGCTGAGCATCTCCGCTCCCTCCCCTGCTGCGCCGTTCCTGCTAATGAGAGCACAAGAGCGGACTTGACTTTTAGGGGCAAATGGTGAAGTGCACTTTGTAGCTGCAGAGAGGACGTTTGACAAGACTGAAATCCGATGTGAGCACGGTTCATTCGTTACGGTTGGAGCTAATGCTCTGCGCTACATTCTGACCTGGAATGTATAGCCGGCACGTTGTAAAATAATAGCACTAGGATTATAAATAAATCCAAGAGGCCCTTTTTGTTTCACCTTTTGCGCCGCTTTTGCCAAGGATAGTTTTGCCAGGCGACGTGGCGTGTGGTTTGAAGGCTCTTATCCCAAGATTTGGGAAAAAATCGAGGAGGCAAAGTAATGCTGCTGTGACGTTGAAGTACGGTGCAGAAGGTTTTCACTTATTTAAGTCCACCAGCACGGCTTCAAGCAAGAACCCGCCGAAGTGAGTGCGCCCGGTGCTCCGTGTCTGTCACCTTGCACACCGGACACGGCAGCACTGTGTCAGCCGACCTCTACGCTGGTATACCATGCCTGCTCTGCCCCTCCTGCCGCCGGCCGCTCCTGTGTCGCTGATACACAGCGCGGAAGCGCGCTCAGCAGTAGGCGGTGCACCAGGGGCATGCTCAGCGTGAAATTGGAAGAAACAGCGAACTTATCACACAATCCTCCTGAAAAGCAGCATGTATGTGTGTTGGGAAGGCAGCGCGCTGCTAGATCTCCTTTCAAGCACGGCTGCTATTTTTAGAATGCGTGTGTCAACATCGTTCAAAAGCAGCGTCATAAAAGCTTCTCCTACCCAGAAATAGTTGTCCGGCGGCCAGCGCCATACCCCGACCAGAGCCGGTTTCGCGAGGAGAACATTTCTACGAACGATGCGCAGGAGAACGAGACCTGTGCGCTTCCTGATTGCGTCAAAGCAAGCAGGCTCCACTTATGGCTCTTCTTTTCCATTGGTGGCTAACGGCTTAACAGGAGTGACCATTTGAAAGAAGGAGCTGCAGCCACCTGATTTTTCTCTTATATTTTTCACTTGTGCATGTTTATGGCCTTTAGAATAAGAAACTGTAGAATAAGACCACCTTTCTCTGGTGTCCTCAATCCCATTCGATCGGAAATACCATTCAAGGTCAAATGTCATTCGATGCCAATTCGTGCCAGGACCCAGTGACCACTGAATCGCTCCAGCCCGATGCATGGAAACGCGACTGGACTTTTGCCTTGCTTTTCGAGCAGACAGGGATCTTACCAGCTCAAGTCAGCGCTTCATGCCCACTGTGACGAACTTCTGCCGCCCGGCCTGCCACTTGACCTGACCCCTGACCTGTGACTGACGCCTGACACCTGACCTGACCCCTGACCTGTGACTGACGCCTACCACCTGACCTGACCCCTGACCTGTGACTGACGCCTACCACCTGACCCGACCCCTGACCTGTGGCTGACGCCTGCCACCTGACCCGACCCCCGACCTGTGGCTAGCGCCTGACACCTGACCCGACCCCTGACCTGTGGCTGACGCCTGACACTTGACCCGGCCCCTGGCCTGTGACTGACGCCTACCACCTGACCTGAGTCCTGACCAGTGACTGACGCCTACCACCTGACCTGAGCCCTGACCTGTGACTGACGCCTACCACCTGACCTGAGCCCCTCAGCGGCCTGGTGACCGGTTGTCAGAGCGGCTGTGCCCGGAAGCCCGCGGGGTGTACCAGAGGTCCGGGAGCCTTGTCCGTTGCGAAGTGCAGCGGTCGGTGGCAGCCGATAGCTGCGCTGCGCTGCGAGCCGCGATAACGCAACAGGCGCGGCGGCCTGCCGGTGCGCTCCGGAGCCGGGTCAGCTGCCCGGCGGGTGCGTGTTGCGCAGTACCGGCTCTGAGCCACGCTCGGCGCGGCCAGGTGCGGGGAGCGATCCCGGACCGCAGCCAGCTCCAGCTCCTTGTGCAACGGCGCGGCGGGGCCACGCACGCACTCACGGGCGGGTGCTCGCACCAGGGTCGAGTGGTGGGAGTCGGGCAGGCGGCGGCGCCGGTCGGCGTCTTGACAGACGCGCGCCGCGGCGCACTGGGCTGGCTGTCTGCTCGGAGCTACGCTCGGTGGTCCACCGAGTGTGCGTATCTCCCGCATCGGGAGACCTCTTCCGGCAGTCAGTCTCTTGTTTGCTAGTTTCGCCATTTTGCACCCTTTGCAAGCGGGAGCGAGGACGTGCGACTGCGTGCGATGATGGAACCGAGCTGTCACAGATGACTGGCGGACTCAGATGCGCATAGGTCTCCGATCTCCTGCGATCCAGCGATCACGATCTCCTGACCGAGACGGACCAACGCAGCTCATGCTCCTGGGCCGGCTGACTCGACGGCCGTTCATCTGGTGACCGGCCATGGCACCAGTCTCACTCGTCTGGTGGCCGGCCACGACACCAGTTCCACTCATCTGGTGGCCGGCCACACCAGCCCCGCTCGTCTGGTGACCGGCCACGACACCAGCCCCGCTCGTTATGTGGAGCATCCGACACCGATCCCCGGCACGGCTGCCTCCAGCTAAGGTACCCCAATCACCCAACGAGGATGCCTCAGTCACCCAGTGAAGGTGCCCCAGTCACCCAACGAAGGCGCCTTAGTCACCCAGTGAAGGTACTCGAGTTACGCAGCGAAGGTATCCCAGTAGCCCAGTGATGACTTTGTAAGGTGGTGGACCGGACCGCGCCGTCTTTTCGTGGCTGGAGCGACTTGTGTTATGTCGATCATTTTGCATCCCTCCAATATCATCCGATTGAATTGACGGTCTACAAGAACTTCGATAATTCTGTATGCAGAAGAGACAGGCGTGTCGGCTGTGTGAACCGCGTGACCTGTAATATATCTAGCCGCATTGTTGCCGGCGCATATCCGTCCACTCAAGCGGACTTGTTGCATTTCAAGAGGACTGAGTTATTTTTAGAATGTATTACCTAAAATCTAACTTTTTCATCCAACCGAATTCGACCGAATCCAAGCAAAAAGCCAACCTTTTTCTTTACAATATACTAGCAACGTAACCTATCGCTACCTCAATGTTTGAGATGGCTCACAGCATAACAGCACAGGAAAACATGACTATCAAACTGACGGAGGTGATTATGTATTTTGGGACCTATTGGCTAAAAAGCGATATTTCGGGGTCTACCGTCATCAGGCGTGTAAAGTTAAGGAGCGTGGCCGGCTATATGTGAGTGGGGCCGAGGGCGGCATTCGCTATCGGTTCAGACAACATCCAGGGAACGCTCACCATCGCCAGCTGAGCTCGGCTCCGGGCCGACACCGTCTGTGATAACACTATTATATTTATCATTCATAATGATGCAGCGGGCTTCTGATTTGGCTCCTTATGGTTGGGTGGGATTTTGCAAAGCACAAAACTGATGTGCACTCCGAATAGAGCTTGGGAGTAACCTATCAACACTATGCTCGACTTCTGGGATCTTGGGTGATATCAGGTGGGGGATATCAGGTGGGGAATACCAGAAGGGGGGTATCAGGTGCGGGATATCTTTGGTTGGAGGAGGATTGGAGACGGGTCGAATCGGAATGACCTCACAAGGTGAGGAACTTGAATCTACGTCTAGGTACCACATATCCTCCAGTTTTGGTACTTGCCCTGTCTCTATCCGCGTCGAATGTGCGACGTCACTGGCTCCTCCTCTACCAAGGAGCGGCAAGTCGATGGTGCAGTTCTTTGGGTTGATGAGCAATTCACATTGGTCCCATTTTACTTAATATTTCCACAGCTGTGCATATGTTGCTTTGATTCATGCCCATGTCTTGCTGTATGCTGCCCAAATGTACACCCACTTTGCTGCTGGGAGCTGATGAACTTAAAAGAAAAAGTATGCCCCAGGATTACAAAATAGTTAACGCCCATTGATGCTCTTTGGTTAAAAAAGCGGGCATCGAAAAGGGGGGAAAGGACATTTGATTATATCGTTAATGGTTATATGCATGAGTAAATCATAGCATTGTCTCTTGATAGATATCACGGGGTAAAAAGAAGCTTTGGTGGTGTCTTAATTGCTACATAATTATATTTCGAGATATGAAGTCTCACGCAAATGATATTCCCCAAATATCGTGGACAGTAATGGAACAGAAACATGAAACCCAAAGTCGATGTCGTTTCGTATTAAACCATTCTCAGAGCCGTCATGGGATTGTGAGTGAAATGTTGGACGAGACCTTAGAGACGTCAGGAGCCATGTTCGCACAGGAGTTTTGAAACGATGTCAGCCTGGCACCAAAATTTTCCCATTTAAGATTTTACCAGCTCCAGCTGATAGTAAGTGCAGCGCTCTTGGGTTAATGAATAAAATAGAACACCGCATCACCAGCTGTGTTAGTTTCAGCACTTTTGTCACACAAATCGGGGATAAACATTATTTTGATTACCACTTCTGACTAAGAGCTTAGGTAGAAGTTAAAGTTCAGCTCGGTTCCGTTAAGCAAGTCCAAGACTCCGGAAGTCGCGGGGTGAGCAAGAGAAAGGAAGGTAAATGTTGGGGTCACGTGCGTAGAAAAACTTGCAGATGATTTGACGTCATAGATGATGAACACTAACACCCTTAAAAATACTCTAACAAACCAACCGGCATAGCATGACCTGAAATGGCTTTAAGTGTGGATATTATGCACCATGTCATGAATGTTGTTTTCTGAGGTGTTGGTGTGCTTTTGCTTAATACTGGAACCAAAACTGATATCAAACTGTGCTTAGTGCAAAGAAGCATACAAGCTGCCCTTGATTGTCGAAACTAGTTTAAATGTAGCTTGCATGTGTTTCTAGGCATATTGTTTAGGAGCTTTGTTTGCATCATGTGAGGCATATTCATAAGTTGCACAGTTTTCAGAGCTTCCGCAGTCACATTTATGAGCATTTTCAATTGGGTTCAAAACACTTCTTGGAAAACCAAACAAATGTGAGAAGTTATTTTCTGAATGTGCCTGCTGTCTTAAATGTGCCTCTTGGCCTTTATTCAAACCCGGACACTCAGGTTCCTTCAGCTACGTCACGGCTCTGTGCTTCCTCTAACCCACTCTGAAATGGCATCCAAACATGTGAAGTGCAGTTGTGAAGTCGATGCGAAACTCACATGTAGTTGCCAAATCGTTAAAAGATGCGGTCATGTAGTGCGCCCAGGCATGCGCGCAAGCACCGCAATTTGAGAACTACATGCCACTTGCGCGCGACCTTTGGCGCTTCCGGCGATGCGCGTGTTCGGACCGCAGCCCGTTAGAAATTTACTCTGCGATCCGTGAGGGGCTGCCTGTCTGCTGGGGCAATGCTGGGTATCCTGTTACCCACCACAAATTTTGACGTACTGGAATTTGAACACGTCTATGGGTTTTGGCAAAGCATTTCATACGCTCCTTGGCCAAAAGCGTTAATCCCTCCCTTTCCTGAGGTCTGGAGGATGCTGCCGCTCTTCGTAACTTGGTGCCGTCTGTTACAGACTTAAACTTCTGGAGAGAGCGACGGCAGCGCCACAGCGGCGAATACTGGTAACTCATGGGACCGACACTCTCCTACAGACGGCGCAGTGGCTGCAGGAGCAGCTCCAGAGCCAAATAGGCTCCAACAGTCGGTGAGTGTCCCGAATCCAGGCATCGTGTGATCCTGGAAGACAAGTGTAATTGTGGTAGGTGTGGCGGCACCAACACGGAGCTTCACTGAAATAAGCATAATTATGATACCCTCTCGCTGGTTTCAGGACCAAAATCACGGAAGCTCTCTCACAAGCGTGATCCGTTTTGGTACGCTTGGGTAAAATCAGTATAATTTTGCACACGTACAATGCAAGGAGGCTTAGCCAGGATGTAACCATTATGAGCGGCTTGGAAGACATATTACCCTCCAGTTGCTTCGAGTTGAGCGTAATCGTAGCTGTAAAATATGTTGTCTCTTTCCCATATTTTCCGCAAAAGCATGTTTCCCAATCTTCTACCACAGCTACCATCCCAATCAGCGTACCACTCCATGACCCGATATCGCCCCCCCCCCCCCCTCCCCTTTGTCCCCGCGGCGCAACTATCACTCAGTTCTTCGGTGAGAAGAGGGCCAGATCGGACACCGTAGTTAAGACATTTCACACCCGGGTGACGGACGGCAGCGTGAATCTCGGCCTAGCGATCCGGGTCTGCGATACCATATGCAACAGGTATTGAAGGCATGTTCACCTATTGGACCAGGGGAGAGGGGCAGTTGGGGTTCGGGCCCGACGGATTTGGACCCATGCCTGCTTACATGCCGAAGAAGACAGAGAGCCTGATACAACTCATTGATGTTTGAATATGCCCCTGTGGTATCTGGGGAGGATTGACAGGGTTTAAAAGTCACATGGGCCTGACGAGGCGCTCTGGTCCGTTTGAGTCACTGTTCGCGATGCCAGAGCAACGGGTCCCAGCGATCGTAAACAGTCAATACCCAGGCCGCCCAGGGGGTTCCGAAGTGCGGGAGGGTCCCAGCGATCGCAAACAGTCAATACCCAGGCCGCCCAAGGGATTCCGAAGTGCGGGAGGGTCCCAGCGATCGCAAACAGTCAATACCCGGGCCGCCAAGGGGATTCCGAAGTGCGGGAGGGTCCCAGCGATCGCAAACAGTCAATACCCGGGCCGCCAAGGGGATTCCGAAGTGCGGGAGGGTCCCAGCGATCGCAAACAGTCAATACCCAGGCCGCCCAAGGGGATTCCGAAGTGCGGGAGGGTCCCAGCGATCGCAAACAGTCAATACCCAGGCCGCCCAGGGGATTCCGAAGTGCGGGAGGGTCCCAGCGATCGTAAACAGTCAATACCCAGGCCGCCCAAGGGATTCCGAAGTGCGGGAGGGTCCCAGCGATCGTAAACAGTCAATACCCAGGCCGCCCAGGGGATTCCGAAGTGCGGGAGGGTCCCAGCGATCGTAAACAGTCAACACCCAGGCCGCCCAAGGGATTCCGAAGTGCGGGAGGGTCCCAGCGATCGTAAACAGTCAATACCCAGGCCGCCCAGGGGATTCCGAAGTGCGGGAGGGTCCCAGCGATCGTAAACAGTCAACACCCAGGCCGCCCAGGGGATTCCGAAGTGCGGGAGGGTCCCAGCAATCGTATACAGTCAATACCCAGGCCGCCCAGGGGATTCCGAAGTGCGGGAGGGTCCCAGCGATCGTATACAGTCAATACCCAGGCCGCCCAGGGGATTCCGAAGTGCGGGAGGGTCCCAGCGATCGTATACAGTCAATACCCAGGCCGCCCAAGGGATTCCGAAGTGCGGGAGAATAGAAAGCCATAACGCGTCCAAAAAAGACTCCTGAAGCCTCCTCTTTGGAAGACTCCCAAAGCTGCAGGGATGCTTTATGTGCTGAGTTGCAAGGAGGACTTATGTCACGGTTGCGAGAAGCGCCTCCCAGGACCAATAACGAGTCTGCAGGGCATCCCCGGGCATAAACGTCTCAATGACGAGTATGCAGAGCATCCATGGACGTAAAAGTCTTAATAACGTGTCTGCAGGGCATCATCGGGCAGAAACGTCTGAATAACGAGTCTGCAGGGCATCCTCGGATATAAACGTCTTAATAACGAGTCTGCAGGGCATCCTCAAGCATAAATGTCTTAATAACGAGTCTGCAGGGCATCCTCGAACATAAACGTCTTAATAACGAGTCTGCAGGGCATCCTCAGGCATAAATGTCTTAACAACTAGCAGCTGAGAGCTGTTACGAATGCACATACACCTGTGAGAGCTCTGTTTATCGCGGCGAAAAGGATGTGTGTCCGAGACTGCGGTGCTTCCGTGAAATTCTGACGTTACAGCAGTCACACTCCACAACCCTGCTGGTGCGCTTTGGCACACTCTGGGTGCACTCACTAGGTCGGCGGCACAGCACTGGACGGTGTGGCACACGCGCTGCCGGTGTAACTGGGCCGTGAGCCCACGGGCCGCCGGTGTTACTGGGCCGTGAGCCCACTGGCCGCCAGTGTTACGTGTCGGGTGTGGCATCTGTTCCGCCTGCCGTTGTGGCAGCCCGCCTGCCGCGCCTGCTCGGTGCGGCATGATCGGCCATCTACAGGTATCACTCACAGTTGTGTGAGGCTCCCCATCCCCTCCCATTCCGTGAGCGCGGGACTTCCGACGATGACGTCAGTGGGCACGAGGTCTCTCACAGTCAGCCGCATTCACTTCACATGATATGGATTGCTCAAATGTTGGCGCACAAGCTCGGCCTGTGAATACGGCTAGCAGGAGTGCAGTTTCCTATTCTGTTGGGTGACTTTAACCCTCTTCCCCTCCAACTTGGGTTTCAGCCTCCCCTCCCCCCCCCCCTCCAAATTTGGGAAGAAAATGGGTCACTGTTTGTTGACATGTTTGGAAATGGGTTGTGTCATTTTGCATTATTCAGCCTCTCCCCAACTCTTTTTGTGAAACTACGCCTCTGATATGCTGCTATACAGGATATCAGAGGCGTATAGGCTATGCTATATAGGCTATGATAGGCTAGGCTGCGTCTATCCCAATTGGCGTTTTGCCAGTCAGACCTAAGATATAAACGAGCTTAGAATACCGGTCAGACTCCAAGTTGCTTCTTCCCTTTGCCTTGATGATCTTTCTCTGCAGTGTTTAACGTGACAACGCAGAGAAAGCAAAACAGGAGTAGTTCATTCATGAAATCGTGGATTTGAGCCCCATCCCCTTTGTCATATTCACGTTTTAGGGGTATCACACGTTGCTTGTAGTTATCATACTCATGGCCGATCAGAGAGTATTTATCCCCCCCCCCCCACACACACACATACACCGACAAAAAATTGTGAGGTCCCTTTTGCCCAAGCAGAAGCTCACGCTCACGCACATTACCAAAATCCAGATCAAGGAGACCTCATAACTGAGCTAGAAGATCCAAATCGAGTTCAGGATTTGCAACGGCTTTCTGCGCTGGAACCCATTTTCTGAAGCCACGCCCGCCTTTGTGAATAAGTTAGGTCGGGTTAGGTTAGGTTAGGTTGTGAATAAGCTCTAGATAAGGAGGCTAAGTTTTGTGTTAACGAGGCCCGGTGCTGGCCTAGGACGCCACCATTAGGAACCGCCGTTAGGTCCCCATGATGACCTAGGGGGTCCCGTTGTGAACTAAGAGACTCCCGTTGTGAACTACGGGGCTCCTGCTCTGCATGAGGAGGCACTCTTTATGTATGGAGATCGATTTTCTGGAACAGGAGACCCCTTTGATGTATTAACAAGTCTGTTGCCAGACTCAACCCCAGGACGTGCACTAGTGAACCAACAAAAGGAAGCCGCTCGGTACAAAGACTATTTATTTTTTCCTGGCTGGTACAATGTTATTTCAACCTTAACCATCGCTGTTTTGAACGACCTTTTAGCACGTCAGGCAGGTTGGATAGCCCCAGGGGAGGGAAATGCAGTCAGGACAAGACGCAAGAACATCACTGTAAACGCCTTGTCTCATGGACTGTGCATGCTGCAGTGCTAGCTAGTCGCGGACTGCATGGAATCGACGGACCAAAACAAAAACGTCAGTCAGTAAAAAAAAAAACCAGTCAGCCAAACACAAACAGTCAAGCGATAACACGCTAGGTCTAACTCCTTGCCCACATCACCATAACATGAACGATGGATAGTGTAACATCGTAACATCACCTCATGGATGGTGAGAAATCGAGGTCTGAGCCAAAAGGTGAAAAGTGCACCACCGGTGTTCAGGTCGGCTTCTGAGTAGTATTTGAACGAAAGCTTATATATGGGGACGCCAATTCGGAAAGTCTGCGAAAGTTGGCATTTCATCTGACCTGGACGATCAGGCTGCTTGGACATAACAATAAGACAAATATGAAGTGAGAGCCGAATAGGTTCTCTGCACAATGATGTCATCTGCGTATTCTTGCAGTGAGTGTTCGCTTATATGGAAGCAAACTTGTTCAAAGACATTTTTCAACCAAAATGCCTGAGTTTTGGGCTGAATGCGTGATCTCTAAATTGTTGTGTTTCGTCGATTTCGTTGCCATTGCACTGAAAGGAAAGAAGTAACGAGAGCGCATCGCTGTTCATCATTTTTTCCGCCGCGTTTGAAGTGGGCACCCCCAATCAATAGCTATTTCACACAACGCCTTCGTGTTTTAGCACGTGAAGCCGAATCCGTGGCCAGCGACTTCAAACTTTGAGCGGAGTACATGCCAGGAATTCCTGGCGTGGTAAATATGAAGTCCAAGTCGAGCAATCAGTTGAAATCACGAGGCACTCCTCTAGGCTGGGGCCGCCTGAGATGTGACCTGACCTCTCCTCTGGCCTGTGACCGCCTGCAATGTGACCTGACCTCTCCTCTGACCTGTGACCGCCTGCGATGTGACCCGACCTCTTCTTGACCATCCGCGATGTGACCTGACCTCTCCTCTGACCTGTGACCGCCTGCGATGTGACCTAACCCCTCCTCTGACCTGTGACCACCTGCAATGTGACCTGACCTCTCCTTGACCGTCTGCGATGTAACCTGACCTCTTCCCTGATTTGCAACCGCCTGTGATGTGACCTGGCCTCTCCCTTGGTCTGTGATCGCCTGCGATGTGACCTGACCTCTGACCTGACCTCTCCTCTGGGCTGTGACCGCCTGTGATACGACCTGACCTTCCCTCTGCTTTGTGACTGCCCGCGATGTGACCACCTGACCTCTGACCTGACCTCTCCTCTGGGCTGTGACCACCTGTGATGCGACCCGGCCTCTCCCCTGGTCTGTGACTGCCTGCGATGTGACCTGACCTCCGACCTGACCTCTCGTCTGGGCTGTAACCGCCTGCGATGTGCCCTGATCTGCCGGTGCGACCCCCAGCCTGGTGGTCTTCACTGGCGCCTTCACGCCAGAGAGTATGAAGGACAGCGACGCCGACTTCAACCTGGGCCTCGCCATGGGCGCGCTGCAGACCCTGCAGGCCACCGGCAACAGCCGAGTCTACGTCGCCATGAACGGTACGGCCGCCGGCAGCGGACGGCGGACGGCGCGCCGCAGCTGGCCGCGCCGGGCGATCGGCAGACGAAGGTCCCGGGTTCGGATCCCGCGCCTGGCGTATTTTTCCGCGCACGGGGCGACGCTCGCTCCGGTCTGTGTTCTCTAGTCCGGCTCCCGCTCTCAGATGTGGTCGCGCCAGACGGAGCTGGACCCTGCTCACCGGTGGCGTTCATCCCCTCACGGCACCCTCTGCTCCGAGTTCAGTCCCTTTGCAGAGTTTTGGCTGTGGTGGCTGCTGTGGTAACTGCTCCATGCTGCGGCTGAGCCCACGTCCCCATGCTGCTGCTGTGGTGCCTGCTGTGGTCCCCATGCTGCGGCTGAGCCCCCGTCCCCATGCTGCTGCTGTGATGGCTGCCCCGTTCCCCATGCTGCGGCTGAGCCCCCGTCCCCATGCTCGGCTGTGGTGGCTGCTTCGGTCCCCATGCTGCGGCTGAGCACCCGTCCCTATGCTGCTGCTGTGGTGGCTGCTCTGGTGCCCATGCTGCGGCTGAGCCCCGTCCCCATGCTCGGCTGTGGTGGCTGTTCCGGTCCCCATGCTGCGGCTGAGCCCCGTCCCCATGCTCGGCTGTGGTGGCTGCTCCGGTCCTCATGCTGCGGCTGAGCCCCGTCCCCATGCTCGGCTGTGGTGGCTGCTCTGGTCCTCATGCTGCGGCTGAGCCCCGTCCCTATGCTGCGGCTGTGGTGGCTGCTCCGGTCCCCATGCTGTGGCTGAGCCCCCGTCCCTATGCTGCGGCTGTGGTGGCTGCTGTGGTAGCTGCTCCGTTCCCCATGCTGCGGCTGAGCCCCTGTCCCTATGCTGCGGCTGTGGTGGCTGCTCCGGTCTCCATGCTGTGGCTGAACCCCCGTCCCTATGCTGCGGCTGTGGTGGCTGCTCCGTTCCCCATGCTGTGGCTGAGCCCCGTCCCCATGCTCGGCTGTGGTGGCTGCTCCGGTCCCCATGCTGTGGCTGAGCCCCCGTCCCCATGCTGCGGCTGTGGTGGCTGCTCCGTTCCCCATGCTGCGGCTGAGCCCCGTCCCTATGCTGCGGCTGTGGTGGCTGTTCCGGTCCCCATGCTGTTGCTGTGGTGGCTGCTCTGGTCCCCATGCTGCGGCTGAGCCCCGTCCCTATGCTGCGGCTGTGGTGGCTGCTCCGGTCCCCATGCTGTTGCTGTGGTGGCTGCTCTGGTCCCCATGCTGCGGCTGAGCCCCGTCCCTATGCTCGGCTGTGGTGGCTGCTGTGGTGGCTGCTCTGGTCCTCATGCTACGACTGAGCCCCCACCTCGGCGCCTGTCGACAGGTCTGGTGTGCCCGTGTGAGTCGATGGAGCGTGACCCGGAGACGGGCCAGTTCCTGCCGTGTCGGCGCCCTCGCTCCCGCGACCTGGGCCGACCGCGGTCCGCGGAGCTGGCGCACCAGCGCAGTCTCGACTCCCTGCTGGACACCGAGAGTGCGCCGGTGAGAGCCGCCCACCCGGGCAGAGGGAGGAGAGAGCTAGGGAGAGTGGGAGAAGAGAGCAAGGGAGATTGGGAGGGGAGAGAGAGGGGAGAGAGAGGGAGGGGGAGAGAGTGGGACGTGGGCAGGGAGGCAGGGAAGAGAAGAGAGCAAGGGAGAGAAGGCGGGAGAGTGAGGGAGTGAGATCAGAGGAGAGAGGGAGGGAGGGAGGGGGGGAGAAAGGGAGAGAGAACAGTAGAAAATACAATGAATGAGAGGCATAAAGAGACAGGATAAATTGACACGAAGAAAGGGGACGTGAAAGGACAGGTGATTGCAAGCAGGCAAAAGAGAAAGCTCAGGCCCGAGATCATATGTCGAGCCACAAACAAAGGTCGTCAATGTGCTGAAAGATACTTAGCGACCACCTTAGCCTGTGAGCGTTACGTTCCGCACGTCATCATCTGAGCTCAGCGCGTTTGACACCCCGTGCGTCCCACAGAGTATAAATGGTCTGGCGGCGGCCTCCGCTGTGGAGCAGCGGCTGGAGCGGCGGTCGACACCGGAGCCGAGGCCGGAGCCGCAGCCGAGAAGGCAGACTCCACCGCCAGTGCCGCAGCGCATGCAGCCCCGAGGCGGCGGCGGCGGCGGCGGCGGCGCCGGTCCGCAGCAGGCCGACGCCGACGCCGACGACGTGTTCACGGCCAGCGTGCAGTACTTGCTGTCGCAGCGGGCCCGCTCGTTGCCGCTGCTGCCGGCACCGAGCGTGCCGCCGCGGCCGGCTTGTCGCCGCGAGCCAGAGACGACGGCTGACCCTTCGCTGGCGGCTGCACCGCGGCGCCGAGCCAACGTGCGCACCAACGGTTCGCTCGTGGCGCCACCAGGCGGCGGCGCCGCGAACTCGCCGCTGAAGCGCAGCAATGGAACGGCGCGGCTGGCCGAGCAGGCTGACGGCGCTGCTGACGACAGATCTGCCGGCACGGGTGGCGTCACAGTGGCGGAGCCGAGCGAGGGTGGTGAGGTGTCTCCGCTGCGGCTGGAGCAGCTGTCCGCCCTCAGGCGCACGCTGCCGCCTGGCTGGCGCCACCTGCCGGCCAGGACGCTGGAAGACCTGCTGGAGGAGGACGAAGCGGGCGAGGCGCGACCGACCGACGCGGCGTCCGCCAGCGCTGCGCGCACTCTGCTGCGCCGGCTCTCGGAAGGCGGCCACGAGCTCTTAACGGCAAACATCGCCGAGGAGTACCTGTGAGGGCCGGCCGACAGCGGCGCGCGGTCGACAGTGGCGCCGCCGGCGACGGACGGCATCCTCCGGAGCCGGCCGGCAGCGGCTCGGCGCCGGCGCTGGGCAGAGTTCGCCGGAGTCGGCCGGCGCGGCGAACTCCGCCCAGGTCAGCGGTGACAGCACGTGTTGTTGCTCTGCCTGAGTGGAGGCTGTGGAGAGCGCCAGGACGGGTGCGGGTGCTGCTGATGTACTAAAAAAAAATCACGTGAGAGCTCACTGCCCGGACCGCTGAGCCGGCGGTGGCATTCGACCACGTGTACGGGAGCGGCGGGTCGCTGGAGGAATCGACCCTCGGAAGAGAGCGCGCACTTCTGACACCCGGGTATGTCAAGGGCTTAAAACCGATTTAACCCGAGCGGACAGAAATCTGCCCGAACAGAACCACTGCGTCGCTGTACAGGAAAATAGAGTAAAGAGCAGTCAGTCGGGGGCACTCGACATAATGATTGCTTCGTTGTCGCCTGCAGAGCATCACTCAGTAAGTCTCGTTGTGTCTGGGCGGTACCTGTGCTGGGTGGCATCAGTGCTGGGCGGCATCAGTGCTGGGCGGCACCTGTGCTGGGCGGCATCAGTGCTGGACGGCACCTGTGCTGGGCGACATCAGTGCTGGGCGGCATCTGCGCTGGGTGGCATCAGTGCTGGGCGGCATCAGTGCTGGCACCTGTGCTGGGCGGCATTAATGCTGGGCGGCATCTGTGCCGGGTAGTGTTGTGCGTGTGTTGGCAGGCATCGCGAGAGACTCGCCATGGTAGCGGGAGGTGGAGCCTCCACCCACTGCCACGGCAGCGGGAGGTGGAGCCTTCACATACTGCCACGGTAGCGGGAGGTGGAGCCTCCACCTACTGCCACGGTAGCGGGAGGTGGAGCCTCCACCCACTGCCACGGCAGCGGGAGGTGGAGCCTTCACATACTGCCACGGCAGCGGGAGGTGGAGCCTTCACATACTGTCACGGTAGCGGGAGATGGAGCCTTCACCTACTGAATTTTCACGACCGCATTACCAGCGTCAGCATTAGAAGCATCGCCCACCAAATTTGGGGAATCGTGACATGACGATGATGATCTTGAGCTTGATTGTTGGGCATTTAAGATGACTGATGCGTTGGTATGAGCGTGCCGATGTCCCTGGACGCCACGTGTTCTTGTAAGGTTGTTACTGCAGAACGACATAAGCTGGGGCAAAAGTCCTCCCGACGACTGCCGGGGCTAGCTGGTAGTTCTGTCATCCTGCTCTGTTTTGCTCTGTGCTCTGAGTCATTTTGCTCTGTTTTGCTCTGTGCTCTGAGTCATTTTGCTCTGATTCGCTTTGTGCCCTGGGTCATCCTCCTCTGATTCACGCTGTGCTCTGTCTTGTTTTTCCGTTCCGTTCCGACCGTTCAGTGGTTCAACAGGCATTCCAGTTTGCATGGTATTCATACGCCGAGCTCGCGCTGTCAACCACGCGTTGGAGAGCCGTACAATGCCACGATTTAGCAGGTCTGAGAAATAAAGCTTTTGCCCTGTGAAAACAGCCCTCAATTATTTGAACTGACTGTAAGAGCCATGACTGTGGGGTTGCATGGTTCCTGGTCAGTTTGTAGGTGTGAGAGTCAGACAGGAAGCGACTCGCTGACAGAACGTGAGTCAGGCAGTGCAGAGCGATTGCGATGGTGCGATGACAGGGCATAGAGATTGCGATGACAGGGCAGAGCGATTGCGATGGTGCGATGACAGGGCAGAGCGATTGCGATGATGCGGTGTCAGTGGCCCGGATGGGGCGTGTTGTCCTTTGACGGTGTTCGTGAGTAACAGTGACAACTATGGCGTTGTTGTTTTGGGTATAGCGTGGATAAATGGGTACACCGCACCGCTGCATATGGGCAATGTTAAGCTGCCACATGGTCACAAGCGCAAAAAAAGTCTGTTCGGGAATACACTTGCAGGGTTAAAATCGATGTTTCGAATTCCGCACGTGCTTTCAGTTGAGATTACACCGCCGTTCATTTTGCTATTTTCTCCCCGTCCATGTGCGCTAGCCACAACACGGAACCATATTCAATTCGGTAACCCGTGGTGTTCACACTGCATCTAATTTCGGGGCATGTGACGTGCCTATCGGCACTGGCTAAGCCCATCCACGTGTAGTCCAGCTCGGACACGTCACCCCGTCTGTGTCTGCCTTAGATCAATCGACGCGTGGTCCAGCTCGGACACGCCATCCCGTCTGTCTGTCCTAGGTCCATCCACGCGTGGTCCAGCTCGGGCACGCGATCCCGTCTGTGTCTGCCTTAGATCAATCGACGCGTGGTCCAGCTCGGACACGCCATCCCGTCTGTCTGTCCTAGGTCCATCCACGCGTGGTCCAGCTCGGGCACGCCATCCCGTCTGTGTCTGCCCTAGGTCCATCGACACGTGGTCCAGCTGGGGCACGCGATCCCGTCTGTGTCTGTCCTAGGTCCATCGACGCGTGGTCCAGCTCGGACACGCCATCCCGTCTGTGTCTGCCCTAGGTCCATCCACGCGTGGTCCAGCTCGGGCACGCCATCCCGTCTGTGTCTGCCCTAGGTCCATCGACACGTGGTCCGGCTCGGGCACGCCATCCTGACTCTGTCCGTCCGCATTGGGCTAGGATCGTAGAGCCGGTGCATCGCCGGTCAGCTAATCAGAGAAATGGCGCGGGGTAATGCTATTAGTTTCTGTCAATGGGCTCGGCTGGTGACGTAAGGCACCAAGCCAAACATCTTCAGGGCATGTGAAGCAAATGTCAAATGTTTTCCGACATCCTATGCATTTGAACCAAATTCCTCGGAAAATCGTCTAGTGTCAGTGTAAACTTCTTGGATACGAGGTAACGGACTCCGTACCCCGCCCACCCCCCATTGGCAGCGGTCCGGGGTGTCAGTGACACCTCGATTTATGCTGTGTAAGAACAGCGCCTGCGACACAAACTGACAGGGACGCAAAGATCAGACTCCTAGCAATTCAGACAAACCCAGAGTCAACAGCGATTGTGTGTGCGTGGATTTCACCGTCTTTTATATGAGCACCCAGATGTCCAAAAATCAGCTGTAAATATGCTGTCAGCATTGAGGTGTGCTGCCCTGAGTATGGCTCGCTTCGCATCTTCTCGAATGCCGGCAGTACTCACTCTCTTAGAAGCAAATCCAATGTAAAAATGCAAAATATAGAAAGCATCCACTCACATCTAAGCAGGAGTAATTGGGAAGACTGGAACCGCAAGTATGCTGGGCCTCTTGCATGCCCAGCATGATGGATGTGCATCGCGGCCCAGAAACAGTTCAGCGTTTTCCTTCGGCAGATGCATCAGCAGGTCATATCTCACATTATCAAAACAATGTATATTGCATGTTTTTAAGCTTGCAGTCGGCGTGTATACATAACAAATGGCACGAACACATGTCGTTCAACAAACCCTACACGTCTGTGTCACCACGAAAAGCCGAGGAAAGATACATCGGTATTAAGGCCTTCGCAGGAGAGCCTTCAGTGGTTCACCAGTCAGTCCAGTTGGTATGGTGCTCATATGAGGAGCACGTGATGCGGATCATACGCTGGAGAGCCGCCACTACCACGATTTAGCGGGTCTGACCGCTGCCTTGTTCTGGCGGCCACTGGACCGGCCCTTGTCGCCATTGGCAGCGACATATGGAGCCGACAGTGGCGGCCTCGGTGCCTGACTTGCGGGGCTATAGCTGCCATTGTCAGTGACAGATGGGGTTACGAGCAGTACCACACGTTTCCCGGTGGCAGCCTGGCCACCGTGAGCTGTCTGCGGCTTGAAGAGGCCGTGCTGGGTGGGCAAGGATCGGTGTTTCTGCAAGAGGTGAGGCTTTCCCTTCTTGCCCTTCAACAGTATAGATCCTTGCTTGGCGGGGCCGAATGCCTCCTGCTCAAGCGCAGCCGGCAGCTGTTGAAAGCCTTTGTATCCCTGCTGAGGACGAACTGAAGACGGCTGCTGGGGACGAGTCGACGACAGCCACTTAGGATCGGAGCGGAGTGACTTCAATGACGGCAGTTGCGGGTCATTGGAAGGCTGCTGCTGATTAATGATGGAGGGCTGCTTCTGACCTTGAAGTTGCGGCTGATTTTGTGAACCATAGCTTTCCTGCTGGGGACGATCAGGGTTTTCCTGCTGAGGGCCAGAGTAGTCTTGCTGGGGACGGCCAGTAGATTGCTGCTGAGGACGAACTGATGACTGCCACTTAGGATCTGAGTATTCTTGCTGAGGACGTCTGGAAGGGTGCTGAGGAATGAAGCCAGGCTGTTTCTGATTTTGAAGGAAGTTTGGTTCTTGAGCCCCAGAATAGCCCTGCTGAGGGCCGCTTAGGGGCTGTTTTGCAGGTCGACCCGACGACTGCCATTTAACGTCAGAGTTGAGTTGCTCAGGACGTCCAGAAGGTCGCTGCTGAGGAATAACGGGACGTTGCTTCTGACCTCGGATTGAGGAAAGTTCTTGAGGACTAGAGTAGCCATTCTGGGGACGATCAGGAGACTGCTGTTGAGGACGAGCAGAAGACCGCCACTTGGGATCAATGGGCCCTCTTTGAGGACGTACGAATATCTGCTGAGGAACAACAGCAGGCTGCTTCTTACCTTGGATGATGGATGGTTCTTGAGGACCAGAGTAGCCCTGCTGCGGACGGTCTATGGGTTGGTGCTGTGGACCATAACCGGATTGTTTCTGAGGAACAGGATAGGTTTCCTGCGGAAGAACAAGGTACGGCTTCTGCTTAGTCGAGTGTCCCTGTTGAGAGCGGTCAGGGACATATTGTTGAGGAATGGAATGTCCCTGCCGGGGACGGTTCCGAGATCTCTGCTGAGGAATTAGGTGGCCTTGCTGAGAACGAGTTGGAAAAGGCTGATGTGGGCCGGAGAACTGCTGCTGGGTATTTGATGCCGCCTGCCGCTGTGCTGCTCCGGCGTACCCCTGAGGCTGGGCCGGGGAGTACCCCGGGGGCCGCTGGGGG